GGGGATGGATGCTTCCCTTTTAAATTTATTATTCCAGATATCTAATATATTTGGTAGGCATTTATCAGGTACAACATGTGTCAATGGGAATAATTTTCTCTCAAATGCTACAATATTTATGGAAACTGAAGATATCATGTTCGAGCAAGTGACTTTGATCTCCTTTTAGATCGAACCACTTTCTCTGTTCTTCTATTCATAGTTTCATGTTTCTTATAGTGTTGGTATTTATCTTTTTTTTTTTTTTTTTTTTTTTTTTTTGTACTTGTAGCACTTGGAGCAATCTTAACTGCAACAGATAGTGTTTGCACCTTGCAAATACGTTCATCTAAATGGTTTCCATGGCTTATTTGTGCATATAATAGATGCACTTGATTGTGTCTGATGTTACAGGTTCTTAAACAAGATGACTGCCTTTACTTTATAGTCTAGTATTTGGCGAAGGGGTGGTCAATGATGCTAACTCTTCAATGCTATCAAGAAATTTCACCTCTCACGGAACCTCAACAAATGTCATTGTAAGATCCCACATTGGTTGGGGAGAAGAACGAACTAGCTTTTATAAGGGTGTGAAAACCTCTCCCTTGCAGACACGTTTTAAAAACTAAGGTAAATTCCGAAAGGAAAATCCCAAAGAGAACAATATCTGCTAGCGGTGAGCTTGGGCCGTTACACCTTTACTTTATAGTCTGGTCTTTGGCAAATGTGTGGTCAACGATGGTAACTCTTCAATTCTATCTAAACGTTGTGAACATTAATGAAGATCCCACTCTCGATTCCATTTATGTTTTTCATTCTTAACAATTTGTTATTATGTCCTTATTAAATTTTCTTTTTTTTGTGCAGCCCCTAATGTGCATTTATCACGAAGAAGCTATTCTCAGTCAGGTATGAATTTCAACACATTTATATTTTCATACACCACAAGAATTGAGTGATCCATTGCTTGATGACAACGATCTAAAATCCAACATGACCAAACTGTTTCATGTCGTTTTTTTATGGCATCTCCAACTTAGTGTCTCTATGACTATTGACACATGTTTGATGATTGAAGCATCTCACTCCCTCTACTTCTCCGTGATTATATCCATACATACATACATACACATATGTACGTCATGGCACACGGACGTGCACATAGTAAACCATACATAATTAGATACATACTAGACCTAATGATCAAGCGCAATACTTGGAGTCAATATTGTTTTGTTTTTGGTGGGGTAAAAGAGTTGGTCTAGATGGGGTGGGCTCTTCCACAAAGTATGTTGGTGTTTTGGGAAACTTGAATTAGGGTGTCTAATCATATGCATGTACTTCGTCCTAATGTTTAAGAACTGAAATTCTAAATATATAATTAATTATTTTAAATAAATTTATTAAATAGGCACAACTTCCCATAATCAAGAATTACTTTTTCACACTTCATTTATTTTCTCATTTTTTTTAATATCTTTTTATCTTTTTCGATGCTAAGTTTGGTTTAATAATTATTTAATTTTTAGTTTTTGAAAAAATAAGTTTATAAATATTACTTTTATTTATATATTATCCACTTTATAATAATATTTTTATTTTAGAATTTGAATTATTTTATTAAATAATTATCAATAATGATTTCTATATCCTGGAATTTTTGCACTAGAAGTAGATTTGATTTTTTTTAATGCAAAGTTGATAATTTAAATATAGAATAGAAGATTAATAATTTTAGAGAAACAAAATTCAAAATAGAAATTAAAATATAAAAATAGGACAAGCTTTTGAGTTGTTGGAAAATGAGGAAGAAAGCAAGCTTTTAGGTAGGCTTCATACATACCTCAACTTACCCATTATGCTTATCATTTATACATTTTTACTTTTCTATTTCATTAAAATCTATGATTTTTCTTCATTACTTATTTTCATCCAAATATTATTTTATTATAAATATAAGTTTGGTTGTTTAATCTTTTGAATTAAAAAAATTAGTATTAATACTCTAAATTTAGGGGTTGGAGAAATTTTATGGAATAACTAGAATTTTTTGGTTGGTTGAGTTGATAACACAAACCGCCCTAATAGAGTTTACAACTTAATCCAACCCTATATTTTAAGTTGGGTTGTCGGACGTGGTCGTCTTATATCTTTTTGTATTTAGCTTATGTATTTTTTTTTTTATATTATGTATTTATTTTGTTTTTTTCTAGTAGCATTTTGTAATTTTCTTTATTTTCATTCGGAGGGTAAGAAGTTTCATAAATAGGTCTTTTTATCTTTTGATAGTGTGTCCTTTTAAAGTGGAATTCATCCTTTCTTTTTTCCTTTCCATTCACTCGGATCTCTTCCGTTTCATCGATCTTGTCCGGATCCTCCTTTTCTTCCAAAAAAATGGAAGGAGAAGTATCTTCTTCGGTGGATCCCTCTTGTTCCTGTTTAGTTCCCTCTGTTTCTTTCGATTTTTTAGTAGGAATGGATGACGGTATTCTGTCTAAAGGATTTTTTTTTAATTATTTTTTAAAAATTGTACTTATCTTAATATATATAGTAACTTAAATTTCAAAAAATTTAAATATCAAACATTCACCTGTCATAACACATCACCAACATTGTTACAAACTTTAAATATTCTCGATATTTCTAATATTTTAAAAGTAGGGTTGGGTTGTAATCCTATTTTCAAATAGGTCGGGTGGGTATGGTTGATCCAACTAAAAAATGTAACTCCTCAATTTTTTGAATTTCCAAACATCCAACCCAACCCAAATAAAATAAATAAATAAAATAATCTAATGTTCCCTTTATCTTTATGGTTTGAGTTGAATACTTCGAATCAGTGGGCTTTCGAGTCATTTGAACCCTCATTCTCTAAATTATCTATATATAAATAAAACAAACAAGAATATCTCAAATTTTGAACTTGGCCAACCTTCTCTAACATGATTATTTTTATTTCACTCAAATGTTAAAAAGAACAATTCAGTTATTTTATGGGAAAAAAAGATAAAATATGGAATTAAAAAAAATGAGTGAAATACAAAAAATCAAAATTTTATATCGCAATAAGAAGAGATAACGTAAAGGAAGAGAATTACAAGTGCCAATACAACTACACTCCAATGTCCACTAAAACCCCAACAACGCCGGCTAACCAGTCACCGGCAAACCTCCGCTACGATAGCCGCCGTAAGAGCCACCCAAATCGACCAACACCACCCACCGGAGTTGAGAGTAGCAGCGGCAGAGAACGGCAAGGACTGAGACGGTGGAAGAGGCATTTCCGGCGCCGGTGCGGCGTCCATAAAATCGGGGTTCGGAGGGCTGGGGCTAGAGGGGATGGTAGGCAAAGAGGACGGCGGAAGAGTGGCACCGCCGGGGGTCGGAAAGAGCGGAGCAATGTCCGACGCCGGGGACGGAGAAGGGGAGGGCGAAAATTCAGGCGCGGCGGAGATGGAAGAAATGAGGGGAGGGAAGTGGTTGGGATAAGAAGCGAAGGAGAAAGGCAAAATAGAAGCTGTGTAGGCCATGAAAATGGGGATGTAGAGAGAGAAAATGGAAGCCATTTTGTGGGATGAGAGAGAGGAATGGAGGAGAAGCAAGAAACCCAGAGAGGGGGAAAAAGGGATTATGATTAAAGCTGAAAAGGTAAGGGAGTGGGGGTGCCTGTGATGTGAGTTAGCTAAGGTGTAGTCAGAATGACACGTGGCTAATGGTTAGTGGGCTGTGATGTGATAACACAGCTTGGCAAGTGATACTAACAGACAAAGCTTCATATGTCTTGTTGGGTCTCTTTTACCTTTCTCAACCACATGGAAATGTTTTTCTTAGCTACTTTTTTTTTTCCTTCTTTATTATTATTTTTCTTGTTTTTATCTTTTTGCATTTGGTGTTTATGTGTTGTTTTGTGATGTGTGGTTGTATGCCACTATTATTTTTTTATAATTAAATCCCATTTCGTTTACGAGAATCGAGTGAGAGATTCAAACTTTTGACCTCTGGATCGAAGATATAAATCGAACACGAGATGTAGAGTTCACTGATATTTAGCAATTTGAATTATAAATTTTAAACTTAGTTTATATGACTCGGGATATCGTCCCTAAATTATCTTTTACCGACTTCAAAATTCACCTATTTTCTTTATTTGTATTATATCCGTACAATCCTACTTTATTTTGATCATATTTGGATAAAAGAAAATTTGTGGAACTTTTGAGCAAGTTTTTGTTGTGAGCTCTTATCGATGTTATATGGGCCCTGTGAAACGTGGGCTTGGGCTTGGGCTTGACTCGAAGTTTTTGTTGTGAGCCCTTAACGGTGTTATATATGGGCCCTGTGAAACGTGGGCTTGGGTTTGGGCTTGACTCGAAGTTTTTGTTGTGAGCCCTTATCGGTGTTATATGGACCCTGCAAAACGTGGGTTTGGGCTTGGCTTGAAGTTTTTGTTGTAAGCCCTTGTCGGTGTTATATGGGCCCTACAAAACGTGGGCTTGGGCTTGGCTCGAAATTTTTGTTGTGAGCCCTTATCGGTGTTATATGGGCCCTGCAAAACGTGGGCTTGGGCTTGGCTCGAAATTTTTGTTGTAAGCCCTTATCGATGTTATATGGGCCCTGCAAATCGTGGGCTTGGGCTTGGCTCTAAGTTTTTGTTGTAAGCCCTTAACGGTGTTATATGGGCCCTGCAAAACGTGGGCTTGGGCTTGGCTCTAAGTTTTTGTTGTGAGCCCTTATCGGTGTTATAAATGGGCCCTGCGAAACGTGGGCTTGGGCTTGGCTCAAAGTAGAAGGTAGGTGTAAAACATTCTTTCAATGAGGCCCAGCCCATAAATCCAATAATTTTTTTTTGTATTTTAACCATAAAAAGAAAATTAATAAAATCAAATGATGTTAACAAAATTACCAAAAGAACCCTTGATTTAGCACCAAATTCATTAATCCTCACGTTAATTTCGTAATTTTAGTCTCTCACAACTGCCTAACCACGTACAATAAGTTCATCCTTGATCTTCCACACACACAGCCCTAGAATCAGATTTCAACAGAAACGGTAAAGAAGAAGAAAGAAAAATGGAGACTACAGTGATCATCGTCGGAGCAGGTCCGTCCGGCCTATCCACCGCCGCCTGTCTATCTCGAGCCTCGATCCCTTACAAACTCCTTGAACGAGAAGATTGCTCTGCTTCGCTATGGCGGAAATATGCGTACGATCGATTGTGTCTCCATCTTCCGAAGAAATCCTCAGAGCTTGCGTTTATGGAGTTTCCGTCTTCTTTCCCTAATTACGTGCCGAAGAAGATGTTTCTCGAGTATTTAGATTCTTATATTTCGAATTTCGGAATCGATCCTCTGTACCGGAGGAAGGTGGAGGCGGCGGAGTACGATAGGGATTTGAAGAAATGGAAGGTGAGAGTGAGGAATAGTGAGGGCGGCGGAGAAATCGAGGAGGAGTATGTTGGACGGTTTTTGGTGGTGGCGACGGGGGAGACGGCGGATCCGTACATGCCGGTGGTGGAGGGGATGGAGAGATTCGGCGGCGAAGTGATGCACTCGACGAGGTATAAATCGGGGAAGGGATTTGAGGGGAAAAATGTGTTGGTGGTTGGGGCGGGAAATTCAGGAATGGAAATTGCTTTGGATCTTGCGAGTCACGGCGCTACAACTTCCATCCTCGTTCGAAGTCCGGTAATCCACTTTCCACTCTATATTTTTCTGTTTTAAATTTATTGAAAATTCGTCCTTTCTATAATTTAACCAAAAAAAAAATAAAAAAATAAAAAAAAATTCTGAAAATCAAATTTAACAATTTTTTTTCTCCATTATATTTTTCTTCCTATAAAATACACTTTTTTTTAATCACTAATTTAAGTTAGATATTCAAATTTAATGAAAATTTGTTACAGGAAATTTATTTTACAGAAAAATTGTTGCATGAAATAATAATAATAATAATAATTGTTACACTTCCCACTCTATCTTTTTCAGTTTTAAAATTATTGAAAGTTCGTTCTTTCTAGAATTTAGAAAGAAAAAAAAATCCTGAAAATCAAATTTAATAATTTTTTTTTTCACCATTCATATTTTTCTTCCTATAAAATACACACTTTTTTTTTTTTTTTTTTTTTTGTAATATCTAATTTAAGTTAGATATCTATGAAAAAAATGGTTTCAAATTTAATGAAAAATTGTTGCAATTTCAAAGATTTAGAGGAAATTTGATTGAAGGTTATAAATGGTTAAAATTGGATACATTTATTACTTAAAAATTATTTTAGTTGATAGAACTCTCTAGCCTCATACATTAATAACTCCAATTTTAAGAAATTGTAAGAAGTTTAAAAATGACGTGGACAGTTGTAATTTAAGAGAGAGAGATTTGATAGAGATATCATAAAAGAATGACGTGGTCAGTTGTATTACTATAAAGTATATAAAAGGATATGTAATTTAGAGTTTTTTAATTTTTTTTAGATCTCAACAAATTAGAAACCCATTTTCAAAATAATTAAATACCTAAAATTTTAGAATCAATTTCATAATAAAAATTTAAAAATTTTGAAATTTAACTTAACATTAACTAATATATTGTTTCGATAAAAGAAAATTAAAGGTTTTAATTCCTTGCTTCACTAAGAAATTTACTCAAATCTTAAATTTTTAAAACATTTGAATTAAAAGTATGTGAAGAATATTAGAGAGAAAATTGTTAGCATCGCGCACACACTCGATCTAGATGAACACAAACAATATAATAGAGAAAATGCAAGGAGAAGGAGAATATTGGCTAAACAATAGAGAAAATGTAAGGAGAATATACATATGGTTTAGCTTACTATATATAGCTTTACCGAATATAGATTTTATATCCCGATTTATTATTTATGACAATTATTATCTGTATAACGGTTGACTTGCTATACATAGCTTGTATTTACTATTTAGTTATGTATAACTGTTGATTTACTATCCTAGTTATTTAGGACAACTTAGTTGGTATATGATTTAGTTTAGATTAAGTGAGGCTCCATAACATGGTAATTTTAAATGAATGGTAATTTTAAATGAATTGAAACAGATCCACAACATAACAAATTTAAGGTAATTTTAAATGAATTGAAACAGATCCATAACATAACAAATTTAAGGTAATTTTAAATGAATTGAAACAGATCCATAACATAACAAATTTAAGGTAATTTTAAATGAATTGAAACAGATCCATAACATAACAAATTTAAGGTAATTTTAAATGAATTGAAACAGATCCATAACATAACAAATTTAAGGTAATTTTAAATGAATTGAAACAGATCCATATTATGAGCAGAAGAATGATGAAGTTGCAAGTGTTGTTGGGACAATATCTGGCATTAAAGTTTTTGGATTCATTGATGGTGTTTCTGAGTAAGATGGTTTTTGGAGAGTTGAGTAAATATGGTATGAAGAGATGGGAAAAAGGGCCCATCCACATGAAGAGGCACCATGGAAAGTTCCCTGTCATTGATGTGGGAACCTTCGACAAAATCAAATCCGGTGAAATTCAGGTACTCATAATCCCTTAACCTTCACATACTTTTGTAGTTTATTAATATGGAAAGAACTGTAATTGTAATTGTAATTGTAGGTGATATCTTCAGAAATATCAATGGTAGAAAGCAACAATAATGTGATGTTTAAAGATGGTAAACTTCATCCATTTCATTCCATAATATTCTGCACTGGCTTCACTACCTCTGCTAAGCTGTGGCTTAAGGTAAAATCTCCACCCCTCTTTCCAATAATCTTCTACACAAAATCCAATTTTAATTAATAAACTTTATTTAAATGTAAAGACCCAGATCCACCGCTCTAGCGGATATTGTCTTCTTTCGACTTTTCCTTTCGGGCTTCCCTTCAAGCTTTTAAAACGCGTTTGCTAGGATAAGCTTTCCACACCCTTATCAAGAGGTGATTTGTTCTCGTCCCTAACCAATGTAACCAATGTGGGACGTCGCACTAAACCCTCGTTAATTTATACTATATCTAACCTAACGAACAAAGAAAATTAATAAAATTAATTTAGAAAGTTTGTAATGGGTAGCTGTTTTTGCGTATGTGTCTTTAAAATTGTTATGTTAATCTTTGGTCTCAACTAGTTGAGACTATATTGTGGCATCTTACATCGGTTGGAGGGGGATGTGTAACGGCTAAAGAGGACAATATATGCTAGCGGTGAGCTTTAACTATTACAAACAATATCAAAGCGAGATACTTGGTGATGTGCCTGTGACGACGGGGCTCCTAGAGGAGTGGATTGTGAGATCTCACGTCAATTGTAGAGAGGAACAAACCATTCCTTACAAGAGCGTGGAAACTTTTTATTAGCAGACACGTTTTAAATCGTGAGGTTGACGACGATATGGGCCAAAGCGAACAATGTCTGCTAACGGTGGACTTGGGCTGTTATATATACCTTCGATAAAAAAGTTAACGGTGAACAATGTCTTCTAGCTTGTGTCTCGAAATCATAGATTCAAATCTTGGAGCTCTATTCTTTATAATTTGGTTTTTTATAATTTGGTTTTTTATAATTTGGTAGTTGGATGTCTAAAATGTTTTTGACGCAGGATGACGATTATCTCCTAAATGATGATGGACTATCCAAAGTGAGTCCACCCAATCACTGGAAAGGGAAAAATGGGCTTTATTGTGTGGGCTTATCCAAAAGAGGGCTCTATGGGTCCAAGGTTGAGGCCCAAGAAGTTGCCAATGACATAGCGGCCCAACTCCATTGTGTTTAATGTTATTATATTCGCATTAAAACCTTATTTGTAAAATATATTAGAAACTAAATTAATTAAGAAAAATGTAAACAATTCCTGAGTGAGTAGCGATGGTCGACGACACTCTATGATTCGAGATGACATCAAGACATGTGGGTAATGTCGATTGGAAATTGAGATGACAAGATAAAATGTAATGTTGTATTGAGAAACCTTAGCCTCGAGTAGAAGTAAAGTCGAACCGGATGACTTTACTTAGAGTAGAGGTAAGTCAGTTGTGTCGCAGACGATTAAACATGTATGTGTAGGCAGCATGTGTGGTCAAATAAGCTTGGATTGCTGCATCAGTTGGTAAAGATAAACCTCGCCCAAGGTTTAACAAAACTACAAAGTCGGAGCGAAAAATGAATATGGGACTTGAGTTCCCTTTAAAGCTGGTCGTGAATGTGTCCAGATAACGACGTCGATCCACATGTGTGTAGAAGCCTATTTGAATATCCCCAAGAAAAAGACACGAAACCATAGATGTCTACCGGGATATAGACTGGGATTCCTCGATCTTGTTCGTGCTTCCTACTTCATTTCTCATCATCTGAAATTTCTTACTGAATCTTTTCTATTTATTATTTAAATTACCAAAATTTCATATTATAAATATAAATATATTTTTTAAATTTCAATTAGGTAAATAATTTAATTTCGAAGAAACGGTTATTCCAAGATGAAGCGTAAGTATTTTTTTAATTTAGATAAATATATGAAATAAATAAATAAAAATAAAAGCGTTCCAAAAATTTCCCTCCAATTCTTCACTTCGCGGAACTTCATGCTCTTACCAAATCGAATCAAAAGGTCTCCTGTATTTCTCTCCGCGATTGCCTCGGCAAGGGGATGTGATTTCGGTGCAAGTTCGTGATTAAGGAATCTTGAGCAACAATGCCAATGGCAGCCGTCGCCAATATCCAGGCTCGGATCGTTGATCTTCATTCTCCATCTTCATCGTCGGTTTCTGGTAATCATCAGTTATTTTCAACATTCTTAACTTTGAAAGCGCGCTCGATCATCAAACGACTTAGAGAGTGACTGAACCGAGCCATTTGTTAACTGCGTTATTGATTGACCATCGCTATAATTTGAACAGTGAATGTTTGTGTGTTTCATCGATGTTTGCACGTTGTCTTTCATTTTTCACCTTATGCCGTTGGCTTAGTAGTCTATTGTTTTCTTTATGGTCTTAGAATCAGAAAATGACGATTCTGGTTCGAGTTATGATGATTGCGAACTACTACAGAATACGTTGGCTTTTGAAGACAGTGTTGGATTTGACAACCACGTTGTTCGTTTGAAGAGTCCTCTCACTGATACAGAGATGGTGGATGCGCTTGATTGTTCGAAGAACTTATGCATTCCTACTTTCGAGTATGAGGATGATGTCGTGCTTGATAGCGAGGACGAAGGAATTAATGGATGTCGAGTGATTAGAGTTTCCAGCAACCTGTCTAGAAATGAAGCGGGGTGGGAAGTTAAAAGTGATGCACAAGATGAGAATATGGCATTGGATTTCAACTCTTCTGATCAGAAGCCATGCGATACAGGTTCATACTCCCTGCTTCAATTTGAAACTCGATATTATTAGCCATTTTCAAATATAGGGTTAAGTAATATTTTAGTATGTAACTTCAGCTTGGGCCATTTCAGTGTCTTTTCTACTCCTAAGACATCCATTCTAGTTCATATACTTCTGAAACACTACTTTTTTTTTACAATGTACTTTCAAAAGGATGATTTTTATCTAGTACTTTTAAAAAACGGAGTTTTAAAAGTACAGGGATCACTGCAAATCAAAGTGGACAAAATGCTAAAAGTAAACCTTTGAACCCTTTTTCTGTTCTATTCATTTTTTTTAGCATAACTTTGGTTGACTTGTCTATAAATTTGTATGAAGGGGAGCAAGTTTCTTCCAATTGTTTGAATGGGGTTGACATGGGGAAGGATTCATATCAACTTTCGCCAAGGTTAAGCTATTGCAGTTCTCAAGAACCGGGAGATTCAACCCAAGTCAATGCTCTTGGCTTTGTGGATCAGTTTGTAACTCTAAGTACTACAAATGTTAATCTTTCTCAAGGAAGAGAGGCTGCTAGAGTGCAATCTCCTCTTCTTTCAAGAATTAAGGGACCTCAAAGTTTGGCAAAGAGAATAGGTGGGAAGTCGATTGAAGAAACAAGGAACTTTGAGTGGGTTGACATTTACAAACAAGAAGCAGAATGCAACTTATTTGCCAAGTGCAAAAAGGCAACTTCTGATTTTGTTAACTGCAGAGGGCAGTCATGTGCAGCCAAGCCTCAGAATATCGCAAAACTGAGCAATAAAGAAGGCGATTGTTTGCTCAAAAAGTATGTAGGTGAGGAAGCAAGTGCAGGCATCCAGTTCCAGATTGATCCAACTGCTTCAACCTTGCCACATCCAAGATTGGATATCTCTTCATCAGAGATAGATGGGATGAACAACATTGAAATAGAGAATACGTTCAACAAGGAACCAAATGCAAAAATAGCAGACGAACAGTTTGGCTCTATGGGTGATGAGGGAGATGAACTCGAAGAATTAGATATTGGTTTTAGTACCCAAATAGCTGTTGAAGCAATGGAAGCACTGTCTTATATCCCAGATAGTAACAAACTTGCCAATGCCTGCAGTCCAGAGAATGCCTTCGATAACATTTCGTGCTCTATAATTGAACATAAACCTCATTTGAATAATTCCTATCCTCAAATTATGAGAGGCGCAGTTAGAAAGTCAAAGCGAGCACTGCATTCTAAGAAGAAGCTTAATGCAAAGTGTTTGAATAGATCTCAAGCACAATATGACCGTCAGGAGTTAGAATCCGATTTGACAACTAAGAGACAAGCAAAAAGAAGTAGATTGGCGGTGAAGGGACGGTTGAATTATAGAAAGTCTCCTGATGGGAGCAATTATTCAGCCACATCTTTCAATCTACTCAGCGATACAGGTAGTTGCCAACTGATTCAGCGAGGTCTCACTAAGGGAGATCAAGTTACCATCACCAGTTTGATGGTCGGTTTATGGAGCCACCCCAGGAGGAGAAGAACACCACGCAACTTCCACAGTCATCCAAATAAATCAAACAATCAGAACAACACTTCTTTAGCAGTTGAGGGAAGTTGCGAGAATTCCATCTTAATGAAAAATGGGACATTAGGCAGAAATTCTAACAGTAAGTCAACTGCCTTAATTAGGAGTATCAATCCGAATGTCCTGCGTGTTTGCCTAGGGATTCATGCAAGTTAAATAAGCAATGTGCAACATGTTCTACATTAATGGTCTGTAGTGCAAAAATGTTTTCAAAATGTATTGCGTGAGACCATAAACTGTGATCACAGTTTGAGAAATTTCTGTTTATACTATGATAATGCAGTCCAGGGAAAAATACATGCTATGTTTTACTGCAGGGAAAAATACATCAAGGTCCAGCTGCAAATTTGATATTTATCACAAAACAACACCCATAATGCTACCACAGTCATCTTCGAAAGAGCTTGCACGATTAGGTGTCTCAGAGTCGGTGCCTGATCTCAGATGGAAAGACTTGAGGAGGAGAAGAACAATGGCTTTGGTAAGAGTATGTTTTAGCCAGCATTTGGATGAAGTTACCCTCAAGCAACAAAAAAAGGTAAATCTGTGCTTATCTTTTTTATGACAATCAAGTTCTTTCAAAATGTGTACTTACCATCTGGTTTCTTCTTTAATAGGTAGTCTTACAACTGGGTATATCAATTGCATCGAGTTCTGCAGATGCCACACATTTTGTAGCAGATAAGTTCGTTCGTACAAGAAACATGTTGGAGGCTATTGCTCTCGGTAAACCAGTGGTTACACACTCATGGCTTGAAAGTTGTGGACAAGCAAGCTGTTTTATTGATGAAAAGAATTATATTCTAAGAGATACTAAGAAGGAGAAGGAAATTGGTTTTAACTTGCCTGTTTCCATATCTCGTGCTACCCAATGTCCACTTCTACAGGTGAAATGTTGTTTTTTGGTTTCATATAGGCTAAGGTTTCTCTCCAAGTTGATTTTTCATTAATGCTGTAGATATTTTACTTTTTCCTCTTTGATCCTACTTAGCAGGGTCTCAGAGTCTTCGTCACCCCAAACATAAAACCTAGTAAAGAAATCATAACTAGTTTGGTAAAGATGTCTCAGGGTGAGGTACTGACTATACATGCTTGTGCATAGTTGTGATTGTTCTCAAATTGCATTACTGTTTGCAGCTGTAAATTTCGACCTCTATGTATTCTTATCCCTTTTGGTATTACAAAATTGGTCATAAATTTAAACGCCTTGCAGCCTATTGAGAGGAGTCAGATTTTCACTGGGAAGGCTGATAAGTTCCCCGACGATCTACTTATTCTTTCATGCGAAGAAGATTATGCGAATTGTGTTCCTTTCCTCAGAAAAGGTATGGATTTATCCCCTTTTTAATAAATAAAACACCTGGTTTCTTAAAGAGTAGCTCAAGAATAATGCTAGAGCTCCTTTTTGCAGGAGCAACCGTTTACAGTTCCGAGCTTCTATTGAATGGGATAGTTATCCAGAAACTTGAAAACAAACGGTTAGTATTTTCTACGCAAACCATGCGTCCTGAAGGAGGTGCAAGTTATTATAAATTTTAGAACATAGATTGACTCTAGCAATATTCAGGCTTACTAATTAGCATAATGAATAAGAACACTTTTCAAGTCTTTTATAATGCTTAGTTAGCTGTAAACGTGTTGTAAAATGTGGCATTTAGTACACGTTTTCAAAAGAAGTGACCTCAAACCTAGTATAGTTGACTAAAGTTATATATGAGTATATCATTGACCCTTTTACTCCCTCTCTTTTTCACATTGAGAGTTCATCAGCTGCTGAACTTTGTTCTTTGATTTACACTTGCCATTAACAGGCATGAGCTCTTCACATATTGCACGAAAGGTTTTGATGACAGCCAAGACCAGTAGAACAGTCGAAATACTCTGTCCTCTTCCCTCTCTACCTCCATGGAAATGCTGGTAAAAATGGCTGATGGGTACGTATTTCCACTTAAGAGATATAGTCCTTTATATCTTCGAGTCATTTTGGAAGACGAAAACTTTGTACATATTTTTGTTTCTATAATGAATATCCATCAAGAATTTTGTGGGCACTGTTTTTCTGTTCTATTTTTGTTTACAACAGCATGGCAATATTTTTTTCTTTTATTTTCAAACATTTTTTTGGATGGAAGTGAATACTATTTTGGATTTGAAATCATTTTTCTTTGGTCACTTACAAATTTCCCAAAAAGAACATATGCAACGTAGAAATTATAATACTGTTTTCATAGTCGGTAAATTTGTCAAAGAAAATCAGATATGAAAAAGCACAAAAAACATGATCAAATACATTCCATTCCCGAAGGCTAGAAATTACAAGAATTGCCCATTTAACCCTATAATCACATTCTTTATTCTACCACCAAACAAGTAGCAAGGAATCAACCACCAAAAATATTCCCTTTCCACACTTCCTCAGAGAACTTTTCTACATTAAATCTCAAGGCTCCAAATTTTTCTTCAGATATGTTAAGAATTGTTGAGTCTAAATTTGCACTAGAAGAGATTTGGATATCATACACATATAGCACAGATATTAGAAGCTCTAATGGTTAGACTCAGAAGGTTGAGCGGTGGTGGTGAAGCTATCATAACCACCACTTCCTGGTGCTGCTGGATTTGCTTGATACATCAATGGTGCAGCAGCTGAAGGTGCGCCATTGGCTGAAGAAGGTTGAGGTGTGCTCCCTGGAATTGGTGCTGGAGGAGGCGGCGGCCTGGCAAGCATATTCACTTGGCCAGGCATAGGAGCACCGGGCGGAGCCATCATAGGTGGCATTGTAGGAGCAGGTAGATATCCTACAAAGACAAAGGAGCACAAACCGAAATCAATAAAAACAGACGAGAACACCCCAAGGCTTCCCAACAAGATTTCAATGTATGAAATCTGTGAATATTACCTGGAGCACCAGGAGTTGGTCTTGGCAAAACTGGAGGCCTAATTCCAGGCAATAACCCCGGGGCAGCTCCCGGCATTACAGGAGTAGGTAATACAGGAAGACGAGGTCGTTGGCCAAGTAAATGCTGATTATAGGCTGCACCAACCTGATGGAATGCTGCGGCTTGACCAAGATGTTCTTTGATCCTCTGGTCAATTAAACTTTGGGTTTGTTGCTCCTCAAATTGCTGATAGTATGATCGCACGTTTGCCTGGAGTGCATTCATAAATGAGGTACTAAGAATCTCTTGTTCTTTAATTTTCTTTTGAAGTTCTTATTGGATGAATGAATGGAAATAATATTTCTACAGTTATTTAAATTTTGCCTTTTTATTCAAATATACTAAAGTTACTAATCATATTCTTTATCATATTTCAGTAAACAGAAAGCAACCTCTAAAAAACAATAAAAACTTACCTCTAGCAGTTAAGCTCATTTTAGACTGAGAATGGTTTGTTCTTAAATAAGTAAAAATACCATTAAATTCAGTTCTAACTATAGCCGGTAGAGCTCAAATGTAACAGCCTAAGTCCACCACTAGCAGACATTGTCCTCTTTGGACTTTACCTTATGAGCTTCCCATCAAGATTTTAAAACACGTCTGTTAGGGAGAGGTTTCCACACCCTTATAAGGAATGTTTCGTTCCCTCCAACCGATCTGGGATCTCACATCAACCTTGGAACATAAATACTCTACTAAATTGAGATGTGGAAAAGATTAACATACCTTATGTTTGTAGCCTGCATTATGCTGCTTCCTCACAGATGGCTGAAACACCAAAAAAAAAAAAAAAAAAAAAAAAAAAAAAAAAAAAAAACTAAATATGGGAAGCATTGAACATTCACTAACTCAATATAAATGACAAACAGGTCCAAAATCTTGAAGCCAGCCACCAAACTCGGGCCTAAATATTGTTATACTTGAAAATCCTTCCAAGATTGTACAAACTAAACTCAGTTTCAAAGGAAACAGAGGTTCGGCACGTTCCGTTTGAAAGCAACAGTTTGGCTGTAACAGCCCAAGTCCATCACTAGCAAATATTGTCCTCTTTGGGATTTCCCTTTCGGACTTGCCCTCAAGGTTTTTAAAATGCGTCTAAGTAGCACCCTTATAAAGAATGCTTCGTTCTCCTCCCCAATCAATGTGGGATCTCACATTGACTTGCCCTCAAGGGAAAGCCCAAAGAGGACAATATCTGCTAGCAGTGGATCTGGGCCGTTACAAATGATTTAGAGCCAGACACCAAACTACGTGCCAGCGAGGAGGCTGTTCCCCAAAGGGGGTAAACACGAGACGGTGTGCCAGTAAGGACGCTAGCCCCAAAGGGGGGTGGATTTGGCAGGGTCCCACATCGATTAGAGAAAGGAAAGAGTGTCGCCAGTAAAGACGCTTGCCCCAAAGGGGTGGATTTGGCGGGGGTCCCACGTCAATTGAAGAAAGGAAAGAGTGCCAGAAGACGCTCGCCCTGAAGGTGGGTGGATTGTGATGTCCCACATTGGCGGGGAGGAGAACAAGAACACCCTTTTTAGAGTATGAAAACCTTCCCCTACCAATGACTCATTCTAAAGCCTTGAGGGGAAGCCTAAAGAGGACAATATCTGCTAGCGGTGCATCTGACTTGGGCCGTTACACTAAGCCTACACAAACCAATCTACAAACAGTCGATTTGATCCAAAAAGAATTTGATCTAATCCGAACACCAACCACAATCATACCAATTCAAAACATTCCTCCAAATTCCTTCGAGCTTAAAAATGAAACATCATAAACCGCAAAACATTACCCATAAAAAAGAGAAGGAACTGCAGCATCAATGAAGAAAGCCTGGGGAATGATTAAACGAAAAGAAAATGGCATTCTGATGTGAATGTAAGAAGAGGACTTACAGAATCATGTGTCAGATATGTATCGCAATAGTCACAATAATACCTGCAGCCATAGAACAAGATCACTTCACTCACTATACAGAGAAAACGAGAGAGAGAGGTGTGAAATTGATTGAATCATAAAATAATGAGTCTCTTAGAAGAAGACGGATATGGAATAACGCACCGAGGCATAGCGCTGTATAGCTCGAAGAAGAAGCAACAATGGCAGACCCTCCAAAAACCCTATCAGCGACTCCGCCAGAACGAGGGAGAGAGAAAAGCTTCTAGTGTTTCAGTTAGGCTAAGTTAATAAAATTGACTGTGAAAGATACCATAAACTTTAAAATATATATATATATATATAGTTTTAAAAAAATTTAGTAATATTTTTAACTTAAAAAAATTTAAAAAAATACTTTTACGAAAATTATTAATATTTTATTTAAAAAGATACTCGATATATATATTTTTTTGGTTCGGTTCGGTTCGGTTATACACCAGATTATTGGTTAAGATCCGACTTCCGAGTCAATTTAGAAGCCACCCGATCCCTATATAAATGAAGCGTGGGGGCAGCTTTCCATTTCTGTAACTGGTGAAACGAAAAAAGGAAATGGTTAACGAATCTTCTTCTTCCTAAGAATATCGTCCACTTCAGGTTCTCTCGCTTTCTTCATCTTTTATTATTACTGTTCTAATTGAATCTTTCTTCTGATTGCTTGAGGAGCAAAATTCTGCTTATGTTTTTCAGCTCAGCTTCTGTTTGGTTGAATTCCGATATATTTTGAAATGATTTTTGTTTCTCGAATTGTATTCAGGATTTTTGGTGCGCATTGAGATGCGTAATTTTTGAACCAGTGGCCTCTCCGTTGCGTTTCTCACCCTTTAGGTTCTCTCTCTCTCTCTTTTCCTTCTAAATTTTCGGTTCTTATTAAATGTGTGTCGTTCTTGCAAGTTGCTAGGTTTTGGTGGACCCCGAATTGAATGTGATGCTACCGCTTTGTTTCCTTAGAGTTACGCTCATGGTGAATGTGTTGGTCTGTGGGACTGTATAATGAACTTCTTTTTCTTTTTGGTAACTGTCATATTCACAGTAATCATTTCTTGATGTGTGGCATTTCATTTGCATTATCTCGTGGTGTTACTGCTTTATAGTTTTTTTTTTTTCACATATTATTTGAGAGATGAAGTTATATAGTAATGCTTAGTACATGCTACCACCAATCTATGTATGATAAATGGAGAACAGGAAGGAATGAATAAGGGAATTCCTGAATTAGAACGAATTGGTCGTTTTTTGGTAGTTGCTGATGTAAACCTTTCGTAAATCTGAATATGTAGAAACAATATGAACGATTCTTAATTTTCCAGAACAGAGAAAGTGAAGAAGTTGATCCTATAGCCAACGACTAGTGATCTTAATTTTTGTCCAGCTTGATGCAGATGTCCTTAAACTTAGGTTGCAAATACAACTCGTGTGACATCTCATATCAGCTGGAGAGGTGAGCGAAACATTCTTTATAAAGGTGTGGAAAACAATACGTAATGGTCCAAAACGGACAATATCTGCTAGCGGTGTGTTTAGATGGTTACAAATGGTATTAGAGCTAGACATCGGGAGGTGTTCCAGTAAGGATGCTGGCCCCCAAAGGGAGTGGATTGTGAGATTCCATACCGGTTGGGGAGGGGAACAAAGCATTCCTTATAAGGTGTGTCTTTTGAAACTTCCAACGTCCTTGTTTTTTCTTAGCGATGTCATGTAGATTGGCTCAACATTTTGGTTGCTCCCTCTCATCATGGGTTCGTGGATGCACTTTACAATGGATGAGTATGTGCTTTTCCAATCCCTCACTTTCAATAGCTCAAAAAAGTGTATATATACACACATTATTCTTTTCAGAACCAGTACAGACATAATAAATTTTTTCTATGTTTTTGGCTTCCCTCAAATCGCGAACGAGTCTCTTTCATAGTATTCTAATAATTTCGAACAGCTAATGCGTTTCATTTATTGAACAGGGTTCTATGGTCGGTCCGCGACCCCTGGATACCGAAGGCGTCCTTGGAGTGATCTCATAGTTCCTACGGAGTGGAGACGATGGAGTTATATAATAAAGTTTTTCGATGGCTAAATTACCGTTTCAAACCCTGAAAAGAAACATGCATTTATGAGGTTTAAAAGTGCTTTTGCTTTGTCGAATATCAGGTTGCTGACCCAGAATATTTTTCAGGGGCCTAACAACTTTTTGCAAGATTGGGTCCACAAACCACAATCATATTCATAGCCTGTGAGAAGTCCATTTCCATGCCATTTCTTTCTCAATCGAGATCTTAGCTGCCCGATCACCCCATCGATCATTGGGGTGGCTTCTATGAAAGTTGTTTATATACTTTAACTTGCATTGACAACGTCAAGCTATGACATGAAGGAAGGTGAGAAAAGTCCATTCGATTTTTGTTTCACCTTCATCCTCTCGAGGTCAAACTCAAGTCTAGTCTAGCTCGATGAAGCTTCCACATGCACATATTAAATGTAACTATTCATCCCAATTGAATTCCATATGATTTGAATTCTTAAGATTATTGTTACTTAGTTGTTTATTTGTCCATGATTGGTGTGATCTGGTTTATAGTGTAAAATAAGTTTCCTGAAGGCTTAATTGGTTAGAGGCATATTGAAGTGGCAGTCCTTCCTTGATTTACAATTTAATTGACTTCAAAGGGAGTTGGCATTGGCTTTGGTTTGGAGTTGGACTACAGCTATCATGACAGGTACCCCTTTATTATCCATTTATAACTTTTCCTCCATAATTTTATTTCCCCTTACACTCTTCTTCTCAATTATTTCTTTAATAATCATTTACTTTTTTCTTTGCTCTTGTAATTCCCTTTCTACCAATAGTATCGAAATTTTGTTTCTGTTTGAATTTGATGATCCACATCTTAGGGTCAGATGCCGATAAGCACATTAAACTATCCATGTAGTTGAGAGCCCTCATAGCCTAGGCACAACAACGCAATTATTAGGGGCGCGCTCTACCACCAAGCTAATAGCTCGTCGTGCGGGCCTCCCGCTGGGGTCTGCTATGCCAAAAGCGAGAAAAACCCTGTCCCTCTCTTTCCTTTTTTTGCCCTCATGTCACCACACGAGAGAGACATGGGGACCTAAAGAAGGGGATCCTATCAACTTGTTCCGACCTAGGATAATAAGCTCATGAGCTTAGTCTTCCTCGTGAGTGCTTGTTATATATAGGGAAATGTATATTTGATCTCATATTAGGTAAAGTATTGAACTCAATGATGATTTTAAATAAGTATTCAATAAGTGCGGTAAATTAATGCTTGGTAAAATTGAAATTTATTACTATTTCATATAAAATTCAACCGTTAAAATGCTATTATCTATGTCAGAAAATCGTTGAATTCAATCATGAATATGGTTTAATTTAGAAGTGATTTTAAATTCGTTAAAATCATTTAAATATATATTTAATCATTTAGATGAAAAAATAAAATAAAAATATTTTTAGATTGTTTTGAGTTACAAACTGATTTGAATTACCAATTACCAATTTATAATTATTTTTACTTGGTTTCATTTAAAATCAATTTAAATTACCCAATTAAAATCAAATTTCTCCTAAAATAAGAAATTCACAAGCAATTTGATAAAAATTATTCATTTTGATGAAAAGTCGCTATCCTTTGTAATTATTCCTATATTAAAATAAATGTTATTCATGTACGAAATTTGTGAATTAATAGTTTTCAAAAATGGAAACATAATAAATAGATTAATTTGATTAACCAATAAAAATTTAGGATTTTAATTATATAATTATTATCCGTTGTAATGGATGCAACTCATAAAATTTAAATTGATTTTTCTTTTAGAATTTAATTGACCAATATGTCAAAAATAAGGTGTTTTAATTACTTAGTAACTAATTTTATTCTATTATTTTGAGTTATAAATTAAGTTGTAATATTTATATTAAATGCCTACCAAAATGCTTAAATTTATTTGTTAAAATATATTTTTGTATTGTAATCTTATTGTTTTTGTTTATAAACAAGTTGGTCTAATAATGGATTCATTTTTTATTTGCTATAATTAGTTGGGTAAAAATTCAATTTTTAATCATGTTGTATTTTTTAATTAAAAAATTATTATGATTATTATTTCCAAATTCAAGTGTAACATAAAAATTAATTTTAATATTTATTAAAATTACATAGACTTAGACATTTTAAAATCCATATATTAAAATGAAAAATAGACCTAACTACGAGAATTTATTTAAAATTTAGTGTCGATAATATAATAATAATAATAAAGAATATATATTGAGGTAATATTTTTATTTAATGTGCAAGTAGGCAATTTGGCACACGAGAAACAGCTTGGTCTCTCCGTGTTTGGGCTGCAGCGTGGAACCTTGTTGGCAGGACAGTCTGGCATCTTTTATCCTTACCCTCCTTTTTCAATTTAATTACAACCATGCCACTCTATTTCGAAATTACTATTCTACCCCTACCTGCAAAATGGTACAAGAACCCCATTCATTTGCTTCCACGCCTTTACAAAGTTGGCCAACCAACTAATTTTATTCATTTTTTGGCAAAAAAATTCAATATTTATCTCGAACTTTCCAAATATTTACCGTAAACTTTTAATTATCTTTTAAATTTAAATAAATAATCTTAATTTTATTGTTGTTTTTACACCTATCTTTCCGTTGAACTATGCTCGGTTTAAATTTCAATTTAGTATTATAAACCGTACTAAGAATCCCAATTTCATCTCCGAAAACACTTCAATTTGGTCACTTGAATTGAGCGTTGTTCTATTTTGATTATCGAAAATTTTAATCGAATTTTAAAAGTTAGCTAAACTTCAAAATGTATTCGATAAAAATATATATCAATCAAATCGAAATTAATTAATCCCATATTAAAAAACAAAAATCAAATTAAATAAGACATTTAAACCCAAAAGAAATTGAATTTTAAACATAAATTATTGAACAAAAAAACGTGCGATTAATTTGATTTAGAGAAAATAAACATTTATTTTTTAAAAAGACAAAGGGTATAAATGTAATTGACCATTCACATAAATAAGTACACCAACTTTCGCTGCAAACAGAAGAACAAACGAGCGCGAGAGTAAAAAACAGCTGTAATGGCAATTTGGTAATAAGTAGAAAATCCAGGGGTAATTTACAGTCATTTTAATTAGTGTAATTTATTGAAGAGATCTAATTTTAGCATCGGAAGCACTCATTTTTTTTCTCTGCGAAGACTTTCAGAAGGAAAATCCAATACCAGAGAGAGAAGCGACGGCGAAAACTAGAGAGAGACAGACACAGAGCAGAGAGAGAGAGAGAGAGGTTTTCCAGAGAGAGAAAGCTTGAAACCGGCATTAATGGCGGAGGGGAGTGGAGGAGGAGAGAGAAAGGGGAGTAGTCAGGAGGAGGAAGACAGCGTCAAACTCTTTGTTGGTCAAGTGCCGAAGCATATGACCGAAGCTCAACTTCTCGCAATGTTCCAAGAGTTTGCACTTGTGGACGAGGTCAACATCATCAGAGACAAAACCACTCGCGCCTCTAGAGGTTTTTCTCTTTGATTTCAACTTCAGCGTCTCTCGTTCTTATTTTTCTTAGTTTACATTTGCACTCGCATTCTCTCTGTTTTGGTTGTGTGTTGTTGCTTGTTTGTGGTTCGATTGATTTTGAGAGGTCTTTAACCGATAAACATTGTGAATTCATGTGTTGATCCCTAATTTTGTTGTGATTTGGGCTTGTTTTGGTTACTACATTTTCAGGTTGCTGTTTTGTGATATGTCCTTCGAGGCAGGAGGCGGATAAGGCGATCAATGCTTGCCATAACAAGAAAACTTTACCTGGGGTTAGTGGAATCTGGACGTTTTTATGATTTTGTATAATTTATGTCTCTCTCTCCCAATGTTTTGTAATTTATATCTTTTTCTTTCTTTTTCTTTTTTTTTTCTTTCTTGTCGATAATGCTAATCAATGCAACTGATCGATTCGATGACTTGGCCTTGTACGTAATCGCTGTTATCGGTAACCTAGAAGTTCTAAAAGTCTTGGATTTTCTGTAGAAGCTGCTTTCTAGTTTTAGATACAGCACATTGTGATGTATCTTATATTTGGACTTAAAAATGAACTAGAAGCGCTCTACATTTCTTGTGGAGCCAACTTGAGCAGACGCTTTAAGCTTTCACGTACCTTTTTCTTAAGAAAAAAAGTTGTTGAATCTTTTCAATTATATATTATAGTTTAACTATCAAAGGTGATACCCTTGTGCCTGGACATGCTCTGGCGATGAACAATAGAGAAAAGAGTAAAAATAAATAAAACCTTTATAGGAAGCTGGCTCTTACAAAATTAAGTTAACTATGCACATCATTGGAGTGGGATCAACTTTTGATCCCTAAATTATGGCTTTTTGTCTTAAATTTTGGAGCAATGATTCTCTGATGTTATGATTCTTCTTGTAATTATCCTTTTATGTTTCCGTTAACTCTGTAATTAAACAATGTTTATCGTCAAATTGATTAGTAATACCCCTCCTTTTCCATTCAATCAGGCTTCTAGTCCGTTGCAAGTAAAATATGCAGATGGCGAGCTGGAAAGACTAGGTGTAATATCATGCCCTGCTTGAATATTTCATCTAAAAGATGGTTCCTAATATCTATCACCTACATCGCCACTTTCTTCATGAGCTTATATTTATCTTGCTAAAAGATTAATTTTGGATAGTAATGATTGGTTTTTTGTGAAAAGAGCAGAACACAAACTCTTCATTGGAATGCTTCCAAAAAATGTATCTGAAGATGAAGTTTCTAGTCTTTTCTCTCAATATGGAACTATAAAAGACTTGCAAATATTAAGAGGTTCGCAGCAGACAAGTAAAGGTAGTTTTTGGTTTGTTTCAGCTTGATGTTAGTTGAAATTATGAAAGATCTCACACATTCAGTTGAATCTTCACCATTAGCTCCATATGTTGCTCAAGTTCAGGTTGTGCATTCTTGAAGTATGAGACGAAGGATCAAGCTGTTGCAGCACTTGAGGCAATTAATGGAAAGCATAAAATGGAGGTAATGTAAATTAACTTGTCTACTCATTCATCTCTGAGTTAATTTTCTAGAAATGTTTAGCTTTTCAAATTTCGTTGATAGGTGGTCAATACCAAAATCATTGAAATCATAGATCCCAATATTGTCTGAATATTTCATTTTTGAAAAAGGGTATTGCTCGCTCTTGTTATGTTGAACCCTTTTATTCATGAGAATGTTGATGTAAATTTTATTCCCTGCCTCTCAAGATCATTTCTTGGATACATTTATGTATCGTGATATTGTATTGCAGTAAATATTCTATTAGTTTGATAGTGTTTTACTCTCAGTCCAGCTACGTCTATCAATGGGAAGAAGGCAATCGGGGGTTCTGATAAGGATATTTAAATTTGTGTTCAGAGCATTGCTTTGCATAAACTTGCATTAAACATGAATATTTTTGGTTCTTCTTTTTGTTTCCCTGTTGCTTAAGACCGTATTCTTTTATTCTTCCATTGGTTTTACTTTTATTTTTAATGAATTT